GCATAAGGGAGAGTGGATGGAAAAAGGACCAATCGTGAATCTATCTACCTGCGTTTACGGTGGTTCTTATTTGGTAGCGGTTTGGTGCATGAATCAAGACATTTGGATGTAGTGTTCTGTTTGTTAACGGCCATAAAAGATTGTCATTTCATTCAAATTGTGAGATAGATAAAAAAAAGACTAATTAATGAAAATAAGTAATTAATGAAAGTGTTGCAAGGGTAAAAGCAGAGTATCAAATGGAAGGGAACAAGATATAGAATATAAAACATGATGGTTGAGGTAGAGGATTAAATGGAAAGAGAAATATATTAAAAACCATGATCAAACCGTAATGCCTTGTATAAACAACCTTGTATACAACAACATATTCAATATATATTAATGAAAGTGACAATTGAATGGCAAATAGAAATAGAGATAAAAGCGATGACAAAAAAGGGAAGGGGAGGAAAAAGAAAAAAAAACGATGTGGTGCGCATAATTAATAACGATGAACGATACATCGGGTGTTACCGTTTCTTAAATAACTCAGCGCTAAATTCCTTCTTGGCGGTTGCAAACGTCGCCTCTTCCTGATCTCGATTACATTGCACGAACCACGCATCCCATCGCTCCTTAGTCACCTCGGTAATCCAGCGTATATATCGGTACATCGCTGTGCGATCAAAATCTGCGGTGCCCCCGAAAAAGGTCTCCCATACTTCCTCCTTGCGCGGGGTCGACTTATGTGCTGCATGCCACTCTAGCATAAACTTCATGGACAAATCTGGTGTGGGCCACTGAAAAACCTGTCGTCAGTCAGAGATGTTCGAGTCGCAAAGACTTAATGTGAGGGATGTGAAACTTACGAGGCCGGTCGATTGTGTCCGCCTTTTTTTCTTCTGTTTCTTACCTTTTTTAATTGGTGGTGAGGATTGTGTAGATGGTTGTGGTTGGGGTTGCACTGAGACTGACGTGGAAACGGAGGCTCCAGTTTCGCCGCGGGTTGGTTCACTGCCACTGGCTAGGTTGTCTAAGGGCGAAGTTTCGTCGACGCCCGTTAGATCGATTGGTGGAAGGGGGCTCGAGAAGAAAATGTCCCTATGAGTGCTGTCGGGCTCCTTCTCGTTGAAAATGTTGTGTGAGAATATAGGACCTTTGCGCTCGTATCTACCAATGGCATCTTCAGCGGCGTGATCTTCAGCGGCGTGAGGAGAGATAGGTGTTGGAGTTTGATTGGAAGCGGGGGAGGTGCGGCCATGGTCTTTGGCTTTGGCTTTGCCTTTGTTGTTTTTGACAGGTGTCGTTTCGAGCGTGGAGTTGTGGGATGAGAGTGAGGAGCTTGATCGCGCTGACATACTTTCAGACTGGTCGCGTTGTGTAGGTGACGGTGTGGCTCTCGTCGATGTGCCTCTTAGCAAATCCAAGGTACTTCGGATTGACGTGCGGTTAACGGGAACAAGCCTCTCCTGTAATTCGGTAAGGCCACGGCACAACTTCGGGTCTTCTACTGTGGTCATGCATACAAAAGCCTCGCGAATTGGGGTCAACATGGGGATAGATGTGCCCACTAAGGATATATTCTATACAAGATTGCACGGTGTTAGTTGTTGTTTCGTTTTTGGTTACACGGCCAATGATAAATGATCTTACCCATCTGTCCGATTTGACGTCGTATATACGCAAACACTGGTTCCAATGTGGTTCAGTAGTCTTTAGGAAAATCATCAAAGGTTCACATTCGGATATTGCATATTGCTTCATTGTTTTAGAAGTGAACAAGAAAGAAATGGGATTGCTGTCCGCCTGTGGGGGGAAAATTATCAATTAGAAGGTGCCTGTTATTTTATATTTGTTTGACTTGTAAATGCACGTACCTTGAGCCATAGCGAAATGGAGATGTTTTTGTCACAACTCGCCTCTGCTGCCGCTTCGGCACGCTTAGCTTCTTCTTCCTTCGAGCGATTGAGGTGATACATACGCAGGGTCGAAGGTGAGAGTGCCAAAGGGTGTAGTGGAGGGGGTGGACTTAGCACCTGAGGATGTTCGACTTCGGTACCTTGCAAGTCTCCTTCGTATATGTTTGCTTGGGTGCCACCTCGTGCGGCGGAGTGCACAACACTGTCAAGGAACGGTTGAGTATTTGGTACTACGCTGGCCTTTGCGCGTTCGGGGGTTTCGTGAGAATGACAATGATTTCCAGTGGCGGCACGCTGGGAACGGCAGCACTACATATTATATGGTTTGCGATGACATCAGTATACTATCCTCTTCAAGTTAGTTAGGGAACATGGCACGTACATCAGGACACACTTTCCAAGTGCATTTGCGATTGCCGGGCTTCGGTTTGCCGACATGGTCACGAACGTCGGGTATGCCTGGGCAAGGTAAGCGTGTACGTTTTGGTTCAGCCATGGTGGTTGAGTTGTTTGCTGGTCGCTTGGAGAGACGGGCTGAAGGACTGGATTGAGAAGCGATGGGTTCGGAGGAAATTGGCTGGGATTGTTCATTCAAGGTGCAAATATCTGA